TATATATACTTTAAATTCCATCAAAAATTATGCCTTTTGTTTCATTTATCACCAAAATTTATAGAAATATATATAAAAATAATATAAATAAACAAACAACTGCTTGCAGCAACATTACAACGAATAATTTTTACATATAAATGTTCAAAATACTTCTGGGTGCATGAATAGGAATACTTTTTATTTAATGTAATATCTGCAACCTTTATAATCAAAAGAGCCTTTTCAGCATTTTGTCTCACTAATAAAAGCTGTCCAGAGCTGAGAAATGTGCTACAACTTGTGGTCTGTGGGCCACTTAAAGCTGGTTGGGGGGTGGGGGGGCTTTTTATGCCCTGCAGGGGTAACATAAAACTAAAACTATATAGTGAATTTTAAAAATTATTATTATTTTTACACTTCAGGAGAAAACAAGACTACATTCATGTAAACAAGAAAAGTATTTACACCAGATTTTCTAAAAATTAAAATACTGAACGATGCAGGCATCTGGTTGTTTTCTAGTTCTTAATAATATCTAATCAACTCACCAGATTTCTTCTCAGCAACTTGTCTTAAAGGTATTCAAAAAAAAGATAACGAGATCACAGAGAAACATCATACTATAAGGCTGGATTATTGAAGTGGCCAACAAACCACTGGAATGATCTAAATAACATGTTTCACTTTTTGTACATTGATCACATATTTCAGAGCAAAGCAACAAGAATGTTTCTGTTTTCATCTCATGAAGACACCAACCTTTGGTCTCGTCCTTCAGCACCACGTCTGATATCTCGAACAGTTTGAGGGGAAGGGGCATCTTTCTGTTGGCAGCTATAGTTTTCAGCAGGCCTGGAAGCAACATGGTGCGCGCCACCTAGTGGAGAAAAACTGCTGTCAGGTTGGAGACCAGGCTGCAGGCTGTTAGAGAGGAGGACAGCACCCTCTAGTGGTGAAATACTACTCATGTTGTACAGTATGAGTTCACTGGGTTTTAGACTTTTAAAAACAGGTTAGACTCCATATTTATAATCTAATGTTTGAATAAAAAATACTTACAAAGAAGTTATGTTTTATATCACATACCTTCAGTTGTCTTTTCACTGTTTAACTTCACAAAATTCAGTGTTACTAAAACGTTATGTTTAACAAAAATATAATAATAATTTGAGTTTAGCTCCAATATCAGTGCATGTAGCTGAATTTGATTCAACTTTTCATTACAGCATAAATTTCAGCAACTATGTTGCTGAACTTACATTTAAAAGTCAGTCAGTCCGTGATAAATTTCTAAACTCCTCCGTAAAAAAAGAACAAACTTCCATCGCCTTCGTTTTTCTGTTTAGTTTGCAGATGGTGCAATGAATCCTGAGACATCGTCGACCACATAGGATACTTAGATGCAGCCTAAATTTTCGAGGTTTTGTCAGACGCATGAGTAGTAGGGCAGGGTTTAAAAAAAATCAATTTAATCGATCTGGATCGATTCTCGTTCAAATTTGGGAAGATCGATTCGAGTCACGAGATCGATTTTTTTCCCCCATGGGTGTTGTGTGCGATGAAGCTGCGCGTTTCCGTGTTGTGTTCACTTAGGGATGGGTACCGAATTCAATACTTTTTGATTAAAGACTGAATTCTGTCGGTACTACCGAGTATCTATTCACGTAACATCAAATGGTACCATGTTTTGGTACCTAAATGCATCATTGCGACCGGTTTGGCTTAAGAGTGGTGAGTTTTCCATGCTTGTCCTGAACGCAGCATCACGCAAAAGTGTAATGACGTCAGCAGCAGCAGCCACTGGTTCAGTCAGTAAACAGAGAGGCAGCAGAGCTCGGTCTGAATGTAGCTGAAAGCCTCGCAGCTCCTGGAGTAAAACTCGCTGAACAGACCGCCTCTGAATTATCTGGTGGATTAATTATCTTGTGAACACGACGTTCACTTGCTCAAAGTAAATAAAGTACCACCACTTTCTTTATTTCATCCACCATTAAACAGAGACCGACAGAGGAAAACAGAGGGGCTTCCCGACAGTCCGAACTAGAGCTGCCACAAACTATTATTTTTATAGTCGATTAATCATCAATTATTTTTTCGATTAGTTGACTAATCAGATCATAGATTAATTGAATATAAAACATAGAGCTTATCGTGCCAGAATGCAGCAGCTATTATATAACCATGGTTAGATTTTAGCTATATGCTAACTAAAAATAATTGCTGTGGAAGGTAAGTTCTGCTCTGCAGATATTGCACAGGTTTCTCTTTCATTTTCTTAAAATGATCCCACACTTTTGAGCTCCGTTGTCAGGTAGCCATGAAACCAGAGCCTGTCTGTATAATGTCTTGTGACGTCCACGGCCTACCCCAGTTACCACTACTGTGCATGTGTGTCAAGGACAGAAAGGTAGATGTGGCAGTGGAAGGTGTCAAAGCAGTTTGGAGAGAAAAATAAAGTAAAGAACAAAAAAGAAAACAATTAATCGATTAATAAATTAGTCATTGATTATTTTAATAATTGATTAGTCGTCGATTAATCGACTAATCGTGGCAGCCTTAGTCCAAACACGTCTGACCTGAAAGAGCACAAGCAGCTAACTTGAAGCGCTGGACGCGCTTTGGATGCTCAAAACGTAGCTTGAATACCTTTTATTTATTTTAACTCCATCCTCATTTGCTTATTTGATTTAAACCTACTTGCCTTCCATGGACCTCCATCACACATTCTTCTAGTGGGGAAATGACATCAATAGAAACACGTGGAGCTGGATTTTAATTTGTGTAATAAGACAAAACAGTCTTGTTGTTTTCAAGAGTTTTCACTTTAAAGAAATAAGTTACACAACTGATGTTACAATACAAAAGAGATGGATGTTGTCTTGATTTTTGTTAAATTTTATATATTGAGAAATATATGAAATAAAAAATAAATAAAAGTTTATTATTGGAAAAACAACATACATAAAGTACCGAAAATTGGTACCGTTAAGTACCGGTATCGATTCCCAGGTACCGGATATTGGTACCGAATCGATTCAAACGTCAAAGGTACCCATCCCTAGTGTCACTCCTGGCTTGCCGTAGGTTTACGTAGATTTGTAAAAATCAAATGGATCTACTTTTTCCACCTGTAAAGTCTTTGATTGGTTCTCTCTTTGTGGGAGACTGATTTAAGCATTTTCTTTCATCATTACTGTTTATTATTTTCTCCATGTAAAGTTTAATTCAGCTCCAGGGTGTGCTGAAAGGTTTTGATGCCATTTGAATAATAGGGATTAGGGATATTAGGGAATAACAGTGGAACTTGGGTAATATTTTTGCTCTTACATTACCTGAAACTCTGCTGTCTTGGGGTTGGAAATATGAGCCGCTCTGGTCTCTGATATCTTTTTCCCAAGCTTGTCAGCTATATCCTCTTCAGAACACTACAGGAAGTGAGGAGGGACAAGTTTAAAGCAAGTGTAAAGAAATGTAAAAAAGCCAAAGTGTTTATATTTCTGATTTTCTCACCAGAGCAAAGTTGAGAGCTTCTGTGAATCCAGCAGCTGCCAGGTCTAGTCTCAACAGTTCTGTCAGTTTGTTAAGTGGTAACTGGGAACAAACATACAAAACAACCTCAGTAGGAACGTAATGCTTTCAGGTTCCGGTAACGCAGCAGGCTAATATGGAAGCAGATTGAAGCACCTGGTTAGCTACGGTGTAGGTGTGTGGCGTAGTGCGGGTGATGTTGTTGAAACCGTAAGCGACGGCGGCGTCCTCCATGATGTCACAGGAGTGGATGACGTCTGAACGGGTGGGTGGGATCTCAACCTCGATCTCATCGCCGACACCAGTCGCTTGAGACAACAGGCACATCCTGGTAAGCAGCTGAGCTATTCTCTCTGTTGACTCACTACAGGAGAAAAAAAACATCCAGCTTCATCAGAAGGCGTGATTTAGAACATCTCTGCTCTGGAACTGAAACTGAGCAGCTGAGGAGCAAAAACACTTTAATAGAAATAATTAGATGCACTGAGTTTGAGAGTTGGTAAATGGTAAATAAAGTTGTGATGTTTACAATCGTGGTAATTATTTATATAACAAGAAACAGAAATACGCGATTCAAGGAAAAATAAAGTCTCTTCATGAATGGTTTTCTACGTTAGTTGCAACAACAGGAACACAGATCAACACAGTCAAAATGTGCTCTCCCTCTCCTTCTTTAAGGCAGTTTGAGGGCCTCCTGTATTTACTGTTTTAACATCCAGATGCTATCTGAATCAGAAAATGACTTCATAACAGTGATAAAACACGTGATAACTAAGAGTGATTGCTGTTAGCAAATCTCATCAACCGATAAACAGGGTGCCACGAAAAACTGGGTCATTAAAGTAAGTCAGGAGTTAGTGGGTTAAAACAAAAAGTATTTTCCTTTACAGTAGAAACATATCAAAGTCCTGGGTGAAGCACGGTAGCAGCATATTCATGATGTGGAGCCACAAACACCTTGTCATTTAGACTTTGAAAAATTAAAGCAGGACTGATCGAGCTGTCTTCATTCTAAGTTATAACTGTAACCATGACAAGATCATGGAAATGATCAAGAACAGATTTGATGTCCATGGTGGTAGAATCATAGCCTACAGCATCATCCTGACAGACTAAAGGGCTCTCATCTAAAGTGATGTGACTGTTAAGATGTTTTTCATTGAAATAGCTTTGGATTTTAGCAAATAAAACCTCCTGCTGCTGAAAATTCAACAAATGACCATTTTCAGTTCTTTATACTGTATACAATGTTTTAAAACTCAGTTGTGTTTAATAATGTGGAACTGTGAATTTTAAGTTAACCTTTGAAAAATAAATACCGTTATAAGTGAGATGTATTCAATAACATTCAAAATATACTCTAACAGGTGATGACTTGAAACTGACTATTATGGAACAACGAAAAATATAATTTGCATAATAATTTGGAACACAGTGTAGTTGTGGGAATGTGTTGCTGAGCATGATGAAAGCAGTATGAAAGCACAGACGAACATCTTGCAGAAGTGGAAAACAAAAAAAAACTTGTTTGGTGAAAACTAAGAACATATTACAACTGACTTCATAATGAAGTAGGTTTTCCAAATTTGATGCAATCCAGCCATGTTCTGTGCAGTTGAATCAGGAGTCCCTCAACTAACAAACAACAAACTTTCACATTTATGTGACTGTCAAATCAATAATATTTAGTTAAAACTTTGTGTAAGTTAAAGATTTCCTTTAACAATGTCAAAATAACTAAAAGACATGATTAGTAACAGACCTACAGAACAAGATTAGGACAGTACAGACAGGAACTGTGCATTAGTTTCATACTTTAACACAGAACAGATCCAAATAACTCACTTAATGCCAACTTTTCTGTTGATAAACTCAGCAGACAGCTTCTCCTTCCTGTAAGCCAGTTCCTATGGCACAAACAAAAAAAACAACAATGCAGATTAGAAGTGATTCAAAGAAACACACTTTAAACAACACAAGAGTAAAGGATGATACGGTACTGGGTACAAGCAGGTCTTGCCATCTGGGTACACCACCTCAGCTTCCTCCACCCTGATAAACAAGCAGGAGGCACAGATTTGTACATTTTTATGACAAAAATAAAGTTTTTTTTTATTTGAAGAAAATCAACCTCTTGAACACAACACAAACTCTACATTTATGAGCCTATGATTCTCCTACAAACTTTTATAGTGACGTCAGAGCAGCTCAACATTACTAAAATAGAAAAAATTTATTAAACCACATGAAAAAAAAATCAGAGTCTGGAGATGTTTAAAATGATAGCAGAAAGGCTTAGAGGATATGCATCAAATCAATTTGACATCTGATGAACACCGGCTTTACATTTTGAAAGCTTTTCTGTCCCATGTGGCAAACATATTTTGCTATCTAATTTAGTAAATTAAAAAAGAAAGCTTTCAAAATATTTTATAATCTACAGGGGTTCCCCTAGGATGTTTTTAACCGTGGTGGTGGTAGTGGTGGGC